TCCGACTGCCAGTTTAGGCCCGATCCTGCATCCCTCTCACAATACGGGACTGCTGGTTCCCAACCACTTGCCCACAGACTCCCTGGGCAGACGGCCTCACATCGGCCCCCACTGAGGCCTTCTCTGTGCTCTTCTAGAAAGCTCCAGCTCCCGCCAGTGCCGGTGATGGTGGCCGACCCCTTTCCCAGCAAGCCCGGCGCCAAGAGCGGTGGCTTGTCCTCACTTGGGTGGCCTTCGCTTATCCCCACACTGGGGTCCCGGGGCCGGGAGTGGAGGAGGTGGCTAAGAGGAGAGCCCAGCGATAGCAGCAGAGTGAGGGAGGGAGATTCGGGGTGGAAGGTGGAGCCATACCCCCAGGTGGTGGCAGGCTGCCCCCCACGCCTTCCCAGCTCTGCTCTCCACAACCCACCCACGTCCCTGAAAGACTGGGGCACTCGGTCCTGCTCCCACTCCGGGCCTCCCAGTCCTCTCTGGAACCCCAGCCTTCCTTAGCGCCAACTCACACATGTCCTGACGCTTCCCTCCGCGAGATCCTCCCCAGCATCCCACCCCCTCACGGCCCCTCGTGGCCCCCGCCCCTGCCTCCCATCCCCACCCTGCTCACCCCACCCTCCTTCGAGAGGCGTGGCCAATCAGAGGCTCTGGTCCAGGGCATCTTGGCATTGCTCTCCTGGCCTTGCCCTGCCGGCTAAATATACATCTAGGAGGAGTCCGGGCACAAACACCGCAGGCCGCCTTAACTCTCTCCCCTCCAGCAGCGAGAGGGCAGGCTGCAGGGAGGAGGCTGGCAACGGCGCCCCTGCCAGCCCAGCTCCTCCTGCCGGGCCAGGAGGATGGGGTTCCGGGGTGCCCTGGGGCGGAGGGTCAGTGGGGAGACCAGCTGTCCCCTCCCACTCCTCCTCCCCTCCCCCACTCCTGCCCAGGAGGAGGCAGAGCAGGTAAAGGCGGACAGGTGGGGCTCTGTTCCAATCTCCCCAGCGATAGGCTAAGTGAGGCCCTAACCCATTTCTCCAGAAGGAACTGAAGGGACCCTGGCTCTTGGCTCTCCGTTCACAGGGAGTGAGGGAGTGCTGGCAGGTGGCCCCCCTCCGTCCAGGGGGCCCCCCTTTCCAGCTCTCTTCCTAGTAAATAGAGGCGTGAAGGCTGGAGCGGGCCTGAGACTGGAGGAGGTGGGAGTCTCCGCTAACATTTCATTCATTTAATAAAGATTTCTTGACAACAGGAGGTGGAGGCACGGGGGCAGGAGCCTCGCCTTCAGAAGGGGAAGGGGCGGGGGGTGTTGTGCGCAAGCCCAGCAGCCCGCTCTGTGACTTGCTCAGTGGGAACCTCTCGGATTCCTGGCCTGCTTGCCTGATCGCTGGGATGACGCACAGGTCGCTGGGGAGAGGCTGCATGTCCAGGGGGATGACGGCCGAACTCGGACGCGTCTCCTGCAGAAACCGGCCCAGGAAGCGGCCTGTTATCTGTGACTCAGACGGGTCGGAGGTCAGACCTCTATCGCGAACACCTGGTCCAGGAGGCCCAGATAACCCTGAAGCGATTGACCCCAGGCGGCCAGGCTTGATTCCTGATGACAGCTGCCCTAATCCTTCCCATGGCGTCCGCCTGGGGCCAAGCAGGGAAGGCCCAGTATGCACCCCTA